GTCACGACGAGGGATTGTGTGTGACGTCATCGGCTGTCACGTGCTCGGAGGTGACGTCACGACGAGGGATTGTGTGTGACGTCATCGGCTGTCACGTGCTCTGAGGTGACGTCACGACGAGTGCGGTGGGGGCTGTGACGCCGGCTGCCACGCGCTCGGACAGGTGGGTGAGGGGGGTGACGTCACAACGAGGGATTTGTGTGAGGGGTTTGACGTCATCGGCTGCCACGCGCTCGGACGTGCGACGTCACGACGAGGGCTTTGTGTGCGGGGTGTGACGTCGGCTGCCACACACTCTGATGACGTCACGACGAGTTACGTGTGGGTTAAGGGTGTGACGTCGGCTGCCACACACTCTGATGACGTCACGACGAGTTACGTGTGGGTTAAGGGTGTGACGTCACGACGAGGGATTGTATGTGACGTCATCGGCTGCCAGGCGCTCGGAGGTGACGTCGCGACGAGTGTGTGGGTGCTGTGACGCCGGCTGGCACGCGTAGACGCCCGGGGTCTTGTGTATCTACAAACTAAGCTGTGTCTGCGGCAGCAGTTACATTGGGGAAACTAAGCGACGTGTCTCAGACCGTGTTCGTGAACACAAGGCAGATCTGAAACACGGTAGGACCAATACCTCAGCCGTGGATGATCATGATTTTAACGCAGTGGGCGCACACGAAATAGATTTTGCCAAAACGAAGGTACTTTGCAAACCCACTGGCTATCAGCAAAGATTCGTTCGTGAAGCCATCCAGATATATAAACACAATTTCAACCGAGAAGATGGGGGTACAAACTGAGCAATCATTGGAAGGACGTTATCAACCAGTTTAGGTCATAACTGGCTGTGATGTTCCCTTCCTGCCTACCTATGTGAGCAGTTATTTTCGACTTTCCGAGTTACATTCACTAACACAGCCACCGTTAGCTGTGTTAGTAAATGGCGGCTTGCCATCCTCTTCCACCTCCATGTGGCTCTTTCCTCGCTCTCTCCGAGCTTACATTTACAAGCATCTCTAAACCTTTGTAAACAGATCTTGGATTGGTGTAGACCTACTGCCGGTTACGGAGACCTCTCCTACATTAACATTAGCTGCCCCGCCCATCTCTAAACCTTTATAAACGGCCTGCCTCAGCAGCTTTCCCCATATTTTTTCACCTGATGACGATTGCTTGTGTTGCGATCGAAACGTCGTGATATTGTTATTATTTTTATATTTTTTTCTATCTCCGTGGCTTTACCGAAAGACCCAAAGAAATGTGGTGGTGTGCAACCACAATAAAAACAACTCCACATATTTGTCACAATAACACTGTGATCAATGTTATAGCCAACATTTACAATAATGGACCTTAATTTACGTGCTATTAAGCAAGGCCATTGCCCAAAAATGTCACCTATTATATATTATTCATGTGCATGCCGCAGCGTTGAATTTTTCCGTTTCATCACAGTCGGGGTGGCTGAAATGTGGATCAAACGTCAGGATCTCGGTGGTGCCAGTTCACCGTCTCTGACCCTGCCATTACGAACCTCGCAATGTCCTATGAGCCCCTGAAAGAAACACCCAGTCCGGGGAATGTAGCTCAGACTCCGCCTATGACATGGACTTTACAAAGCTGACCCTGCCATTATTAATTATTGTCAAAACCATTTTTGTCAAACTCGCTCTGCCATTGGTCGTGGCTATCACGAACCTCGCAATGCCATTTTGAACCGAACACGGCCATTACGAACCTGACGTTACGAACCCGACGTGGCCATCGTGAGCCCCTCGCAACGTTCTTTATCTTCTTGGTTCTTTCGGTAAAGTCACGTTGAAGGGAAATAATAAAATAATAAAAATAAAACATAGTAAAATACAATTCTCACGACGTTTCGGCCACAACGCAAGCAGCCGTCCTCAGGTGAAGAACAGGTCTGTCGGAAAGACAGACAGACGCTGTGTGGTGAAGAACAGGTTTGTCGGAAAGACAGACAGACGCTGTCTATCCGACAGGTGAAGAACAGGTCTGTCGGAAAGACGGACAGACGCTGTCTTTCCGACAGACCTGTTCTTCACCTGAGGACGGCTGCTTGCGTTGTGGCCGAAACGTCGTGAGAATTGTATTTTATTATGTTTTATTTTTATTATTTTATTATTTCCCTTCTACGTGATGACTTTACCGAAAGAACCAAGAAGATGAATCCCTGCTGCAGTCACGAAAGCTTCAAATCGAAATTTAACGTTCTTTATGTTTTCCTCCTCCCTCAGCAGACCGAAGTCGACCTCTTCGCAGCCTTCACCCTCCCCGCCGTCCCCATCGTCCCCGGCGCCCCCCGCGTCCTCGACCTCTCAGTGGGCGTACGTGACGGTGTTTGCCTACCCACGGGGGGGCGGCACGGGAAAGGGGCCCCGCTCCTCCACGCGACACACCTTCCGCATCGACTCGCACGGCGACGCCGATGGCAACATTCGCGAAGCGCGCCGCTGGGAGACGGCCATTCTCAGCCTGCTCAGGGGTGAGTGGATGGGGGGCGGGTGGGGCAGTTTGTGTTTCACGCTTCTCCATGTATATAAAAGGCAAAGTTGTGATTATGTGTGGCTGTTAAAAATGTTTAGCGTACTTCCCGACATGCAACAAACTGGAAATTTGCCATGTGGGTACTTTCCAGACTGTACACCATGCACAAATTATAAAAATACACTTTTTTTTGGGGGGGGGGTGCGGGGGGAGCTCAATAATGCATTTATTTTTTGCATGGTAAGTGAGCTGTGACGTCACGTCTGTCACGTGACCCGCGCATGTGGAAGCGTAACGCATTGTAGTGTAGCGGGTAGCGCGCCGCGCTACGAACCCGGCGACCCGAGTTCGATTCCCGCTCACGGCCACCACCGGTGACGATTATTTGAACCGGTCCTGGGCCTCCCCTAGGTCGACTCAGCCTTTAAACAATGAACTGGTGTGGTGTGTGAACATCGCCACTGGGGAGACAAAGGCGGCCGGGCATGGTGCATCCAAGTCCCGGGCGAAGCCAGGAAAGCGTTGCACTTGTGCCCGGTGTCAATAATGTAGATCTGGTCAAACACATCTGTACAAACACTATCACAGACAAAGGATCCGTTGTATAGCCTTAACCAACTGTTGGGGCAAGTGCTGTTAGCGAGGAGCACCTATCATACACAAAACGAACACACACACTGACTCTAACACACTAACACAATGACCAAGATCTCACTTAGGCCGGCATGGCACAGATACGTGTCACCGATGTTGACTGTGAGCGATAATCGAGTGCTGTCATTGCAGCACTTGTGCCAGGCTAGGTGCCCTTACAGGCCATGACGTGAAGAAGTGAGGAAGGCTTGCTGGCAGGAGGACACGGGACAGATCCCGGTGTGATTGATAGTCTGACCGAGATGACTGACGCGCAAACTGTTGGAAAGACAAAGATCACCCCTACAGCCTTACATTTTTGGGGTAATAGCTATTAGCAAGTGCCTATGGATGCCAGCATGGCACATGGAAACTCACGCCCAGTCGCAAACACGCAACACTCAAAGATCCCGGAGTAGAAGATGCAACCCTAAAACTTCTACTTTACAGTACAGGGAGAGAAAAAAACATGCGTGTGTTACATAATCCGTAGTGTAGGTAAATTGTAAGCCACGTGAAAATAGAGCTGAGAATGTGATCATCTGTGCATTAGTTTGCTTTGCATTTACAAACTTTGTAAACGGAGATGTCTTTTAGAATTGTGGTGGAACAGGTTTTGTTTTGGCCCACGCTGCCCGAGTGTGATGCCAATGGACCTGCAGGGTGATTTCACTCCTCCCTGCTGTGGGGCTCATTCAGAGTCACAATGAGCACTGCACCCGTGGCACTCATCTTTTTCACGATTTAAATCGACGCCAGTGGAGTTGGTGGCACAGCAAGTGAGCGCACCGCAATATGAACTCAGTAAAGTCACGTAGAATGGAAATAATAAAATAATAAAAATAAAACATAATAAAATAATTCTCACGACGTTTCGGCCACAACGCAAGTAGCCGTCCTCAAGTGGAGAGCAGGTCTGTCGAGGAGACAGTCTGAATGTGTCCTCGACAGACCTGCTCTCCACCTGAGGACGGCTACTTGCGTTGTGGCCGAAACGTCGTGAAAATTATTTTATCATGTTTTATTTTTATTATTTTATTATTTCCATTCTACGTGACTTTACCGAAAGAACCTAGAAGATGAATCCCTGCAGTCACGAAAGCTTTAAATCGAAAAATGAACTCAGTAGTCCAAGTGCGAATTCCTGGTCACGGCTAACATCAGTGGCAAGTGAATTAGAACTGGTCTCGCGCTCCTTGAACTATTTGGGGGTTCCAAAAGTAAAACGCGTTGGTTTCTGGATTTGTCTCGATTATAAACGGACTCGAGGTAGGAGCGGTGGCGCAGTGGTTAGCACTCTACGCTGCGAACCTCACCCATCTCAGATTATTCCCCCTCAAGGCGAACATCAGTGACATCTGAACCTGCCCCCCCCCCCCTACTCACCCACTTCACCTACCCACATTGACCACAAAAAAAACCCCATGGCCAACGCAGCATGGTGGGGGCGGGGGAAATTGATCCATTGGTGCATTGATAATCGCTGGAATGTATTAGCAACGATAGCTGTTGTCTCTCTGATGTGGCCATTATCAACTTGGATAGAACCTCACCCATCCCAGATTATTCCTGCTCAAGGCGAACATCAGTGACATCTGAACCTGCCCCCCCCCCCTACTCACCCACTTCACCTACCCACATTGACCACAAAAAAAACCCATGGCCAACGCAGCATGGTGGGGGAGGGGGAATTGATCCATTGGTGCATTGATAATCGCTGGAATTTATTAGTAACGATAGCTGTTGTCTCTCTGATGTGGCCATTATCAACTTGGATAGATTAAGATTCCCCGAGCTGCTGTAGTCGTTACAGTTAATGTGTAACCATGTGGGGTCTGTGCCAGTTAAGGTCTTTGTGGTGCTGTCCCCTACATGGTAAACAGCTCAAAGATCACTCTGCTGTGATATTATAGTTCAGTGTGCTTTATTGAAGCAGGTGAGAGCCCATTGAGATGAATTGCTTCTTGCGATCGACATCCTTTATTTAATGAGGTGATATCATTGAGACGAAGTATCTGTTCTGGTTGATGCCCTTTATATGACCAAGGTGTGAGCCCACAGATATTTCTTCTCATTTAAAATGTGGATTTCCGAGCCTGTGTAGTCTTATCAGCATGACCCTTGGAGCCAGCATTTTACTACAGCCAGCTTAACATTTTAGGCACAGTCGTTAAGAAACCCCTGAGAAAGACACCCAACTCCAGGGCTTGAACCTTGAACCCAGGAGTTCGGCAACGCCAGCCTGCATTCGAGATGGCCGTGGTGAACCTGCCAGACAGAGAGAGAGGTGGAGCGGTTGGTTAATACACTGCACTTCAAGCCATCCGAGTTCGATTCCTGGCCACAGCCATCATTATTGGCAAATCTTCTGCTTGCATATGTCTGGATTAATAGCAACTTATGGTGGAACTATGTCTACATTAGGAGCAGTAAGCCATGCAGTGACTTCAATTGCTGTGTGGTGGATTGCTTAGGTGATTCAGCTGTATTTGGCAGTTCTGGTTCACTCGAAGACTTACATAGAAACCCATAGTGACTCATAGACTTAAATAGATTTCATTGTTGTTCACGACTGTGCGAGTTCACAGAGAGACCCATAGACTGACACAGAGACCCATAGACTCGCGTGAATTGTCGAGGTTCATATTTGATACACCGCTGTGCCGTTGATGCTCTGGGCGGCATTGTCGCATTCACACGGGACAGGCAATTCTCTTGACCAATACATGGCCACCAACCAGAGGTCGCAAACGGGTTTTGATTCCTTACCCTGTACCCGGCCGCACCAGGGTCGCAAACGGGTACCCGTACCCGATACCCGGCCGGGTACGGGTAGCCGGGTATCGGGTAGGGTACGGATATCGGGTACCCGATTGCGACCTCTGCCACCAACCCTTCACCAGTCCACACGGACCGGCGTGCTGAAGTATGGTCAAACGACCCCATGATGAAAGAGGCATGAGGAGGCGTCCATCCAGCAGCGGGTTGATAAAGGGCGGTGCGATATACGCAGGAAGAGAGCGAGAGTGGGTGAATGCCTGCGAGTTGCTATCAGCTGAGGTATCTCTTGCACAATGCCAAGAGCTGGCACGTCAATACTCGCACTTGCCCAATGTCTCCCTACAGTGGGTAGCCTTCAATAGAAGTGCCCTCAGCAAATACATCCATAATGCAGTTTTTTTTGGGTTAGATCACGTAACTATAAACTTGTCGTAGTAATAGGTTTTTACTCTTTCAACTGGTACAAAAACTGACACCTTTATACAAGGGATCATGTTTTGCAATAACCACAACACAAGCAGTCAAAATGCAAACAAAAAGAAACAACTTGTATAAAGGTATCTGTGTTTGTACCAGTTGAAAGGGTAAAACCCTACTACTATATTTTGCCACTGGTAAAGGAGGTCTCATGGTGTTAATGCTTACCCCGAGCTCTCAATACTTTGATAGTGCGTTGTTTTTGAGTTGTACGCCTTTTGGCGTCATCTGGTCCAACACCAATGGAGACTAGGCTCTAAGAAAAGCTGTCTCGGGTGTGGACCAATCAACTTCAAGGACAGTGCATATGATTATCATCATCAGAGTTGTTTCTTTTTGTTTGCATTTTGACTGCTTGTGTTGTGGTTATTGCAAACATGATCCCTTGTATAAAGGTGTCGGTTTTTGTACCAGTTGAAAGGGTAAAAACCTATTACTATATTTTGCCACTCGTAAAGGAGGTCTCATAGTGTAAACTTGTCGTTAAACACGCCGCCACCCGACTCGGCCAATCGGCAACATTTAACGATACATTTATATTTGGGCGTCGAACCCAAAGCACCTCTATTATGGGTAACATTGGCCGCGAAAGCCTACGTGTTAAACAGAGCAAATACAACCGTGAGCCAATTCTCCAGCTTCTCTGGCAGTGTGAAAGAGGCTTCCTACTCGGACGAGCTTCGAGGCATTGGTGCCCATCCGGGGGTGGTGACGCGGCCCAGCAACAGCCGCGTTCGCCGCTCGTTTCACGAGGTTCGCGGTTGGAACCCAGCGGGCCCCCCTGATTAATACTGCGGTGTGCGTGCGTGCTTGTTAACTGTGAAAATACTACGATATACGGCGTCGACTTCGCGGTAGACTTCACAGATCACGTGGCGTCAATCGCAAGAGTTACGCCGTCGCGTGCCCGTGTCACGGTCCGGATTTGCCAAAGTTGAAAACAATGACACCGCAAATGACTCGGTTGGAATTGCGCATAAACATGGCGGTGATATCGCCCTCTAATGGCAAAACGTGGCAGAATCCTCCTGAAAAATAGTCGGGAGACTCGGTGAGGCATTCTTGGGCAAACAGGCATATTAATACAATTATAATGCATCAGCATGA